TATTGCAATATACTTTCCTCTTAGCACGGACTTCACTATGTCCCACAGATTTTGCGGTGTTGAATTATTGTTGTCATTTGTCTCCATATATTGCTTGATCTCTGTTTTTATTTGGTCATTGACCCATTGGTTGTTTAGGAGCAGGTTATGAAGCCTCCATGTGTTTGTGGGATTTTTTATTTTCTTTGAGTAATTTATTTCTAGTTTCATACCTTTGTGGTCTGAGAAACTGGTTGGTACAATTTCAGTCTTTTTGAATTTACTGAGACTCGTTTTGTGGCCTAGCATATGTTCTATTCTTGAAAATGTCCCATGAGCACTTGAGAAGAATGTGTAATCTGTTGGTTTTGGGTATAGAGTTCTGTAGATGTCTGTTAGGTCCATCTGTTCTAATGTGTTGTTCAGTACCTCTGTCTCCTTACTTATTTTCTGTCTGGTTGAACTGTCCTTTGAAGTGAGTGTAGTGTTGAAGTCCCATAGAATGAATGCATTGCTTTCTATTTCCCCTTTTAATTCTGTTAGTATTTGTTTCACATATATATGTGCTCCTGTGTTTGGAGCATAGATATTTATAATGGTTATATCTTCTTGTTGGATTGACCCCTTTATCCTTATGTAATGTCCTTCTTTGTCTCTTGTTGCTATCTTTGTTTTGAAGTCTATTTTGTCTGATACAAGTACTGCAACTGCTACTTTTTTCTCTTTGTTAGTTCTATGAAATATCTTTTTCCATCCCTTCACTTTTAGTCTGTGTATGTCTTTGGGTTTAAAGTGAGTCTCTTGTAGGCAGCATATAGATGGGTCTTGATTTTTTATCCATTCAGTGACTCTGTGTCTTTTGATTGGTCCATTCAGACCATTTACATTTAGGGTGATTATCAATAGGTATGTACTTATTGCCATTGCAGGCTTTAGATTTGTGGTTACCAAAGGTTCAAGGTTAACTTCTTTCTGTCTGAGAGTCTAACTTAACTCACTTAATATGCTGTTACAAACACAATCTAAAGGTTCTTCTCTTTTTCTCCTCCTTTTTTTTCCTCCTCCATTCTTTATATATTAGGTATCATATTCTGTATTCTTTGTCTATTCCTTGATTGACTTTGCAGATAGTTAATTTAATTTTGCATTTGCTTAGTGATTAGGTGTTCTACTTTCTTTACTGTGGTTTTATTACCTCTGGTGACAGTTATTAAACCTTAGGAATACTTTCATCTATAGCAGTCCTTCCAAAATAGACTGTAGAGATGGTTTGTGGGAGGTAAATTCTCTTAGCTTTTGCTTATCTGGAAATTGTTTAATCCGTCCTTCAAATTTAAATGATAATCTTACAGGGTAAAGTAATCTTGGCTCCAGGCCCTTCTGCTTCATTGCATTAAATACATCATGCCACTCCCTTCTGGCCTATAAGGTTTCTGCTGAGAAGTCTGATGATAGCCTGATGGGCTTTCCTTTGTATGTGATCTTATTTTGCTTCTTTCTTGCCTCTTTTCCCTTTATTAACTTTTGTTTTGTTTTGTTTTGTTTTGCAAATTTTAACACTCTAAAAGAGTGGGTGCGAATTGGTAATAAGACTGAGAAGATACAAATAGACTTTAATATGATACCCATATACTTGACCCTATAAAGGAATACAGGACAGAAAATGTAGAGGAGCTACACATTCATCTCAGGAAGCCTCAGCCTACCGAGTATATTACTTCTTGGGCCTTTTGGGGAGTGTGGCTGCTATGGGCAAGGGCCGAGGCTGATGCTGAGAAACTGCAGCTTGGATTTTCCACGCTTTTCATGCTATTTTAGTCACACAGGCCCACTATAAGTTCCTCAGTCCACATATAACCCCATATAGGAGATAGGCAGATACAACATTCTATGATTATGTTAAGTAGCTTCCAGGAAACAGTACTCTGAGACGTGGTCACCTAGATTATTCCTCAGTGGGCTTGCTCCAGCCCAGGCTCCTTACTCACAAGTGGGTAAAGAATAAATGTTTAGTATCGTGGCTAATTAAAAAGAGAACACCCAGGTAAACACTTTTCAAGTCAGGGAAGAGCGCTGTACACATGAGTGATGCCTCCTTTCTAAGTCAGATCCCCTTGTTTTCCCCTAGAGAGAACTACAGTCCTAACTTGCAGATCAGTCACTTCCAGTACTTCTTTACAGTTTTATTACTAATGCTGTCATCCTTAAGAACATGTTTTTTTCTTGCCTGTTTTGCACTTAACAAAAATAGAAAAGTTATGTTTTTTCTGTCTTTTTTTTTTTCTCAACTTTATACTGAAAGGAGTCATAGATATTGTAATACTTTGTATTTTTTGTATACTTTGCTCAGTTTCTTAGCTCTGTAGTATTCCATTATTTGAATATACCATGTTCTGTTGTTGGTCTGATACCCATTTTTGGAGGTTATGGGCAATGCTACTACATTCTTAACCTTGTATCCTGCCACACATTTAACAAGGGGTGAAACTGCGTGCTCTTATTATCAGCGTCTTTGCCTCTACGATATTGCCAAACTATATTCCAAAGTGGTTCTTCTGATTTTTGTTCGCAGAAGCAGCATGAGAGTACTTTCTACTACTCCACACTTGATATTACTACCATTCTTATGGTTTGCCATCTCGTGAGGTATCTCATTGTAATTTAGTTTGCATTTTCTCAATTATTGTTGAGAAGGAGCATCTTTCCAGTTCTGTCCATTTGAATTCCCCTTCTCCCCCCCTTTTTTGGTGCTTATTCAAGTCTTTTTGTCTTTTTTTTTTTCATTTTTGTGTGTGAGTGTCCAGTTTTCTTGCTTTGTAGTTTTTTGTTCTGAACATAAGAAGGGATTCCTTTCTTTATGGGTTATGCATTGCATATAACTCAATGGCTTTTTTTGATAAAAAGTTTATGATTTTAATATATACAAACTTACCAGTCTTTTCCTTTATAGTTAATGCTTCATATTTTATTTAAATATTCTGAAGTAATAAATAAATTTTCCTGCAGTGTCTTCTAAAACTTTATAGTCTTGCCTTTCACATTGAAGTTTATAGTCAGCTGGAATGATTTTTCTGTACACAGTGCAGTGAGGTGGGAGCGCAGATTTATTATTGCTATTGTTAATATACTTGATCACTCAGCATCATCCACCGGGAGAAAATCAGTCTGCAGTATCACCACTGTCAAAAATCAAGTGTTCATGTTTGGGTGGGCGTGTTTTTGTGCTGTTCTTTTTCACTGGTTTATTTGTCCACCCCTTCCCCCCAAGATCTCACTGTGTTAATTACTGCAGCTTTATAATGAGTTTGGTATCTGGTAAGCAAATCCTCTCACCTTGTGTTTCTTCTTCAAATGTCTTGTCTGTTCTTAGCCCTTTGCATTTCCATGTAAATTTTACAATCAGTTTGTCAAGTTCCACAGAAAATCCTAATAGGATTTTCACTGGGAATGCATTGAATCTGTAGATCATTTGGGGAAGAACTGACATCTTTAGAATATTGAATTGTCTGATCTTTAGGTCCTCTTTAATTTCTCTCAACAATGTTTTATAATTATCTTCGTAGATATCTTACATGGTACAAACGTTTTGTTAAATTTATTGCTAGGTGTTTGATGAGGCTATTGTAAATTGTATCTTGACATCCATGTCATCAAGTAGAGATGTCTGTGTAACTAGTCCTCCTTATCATCAAGTGCTTTAAGCTGTCCACTGTCCTCACCTCAGGCTGCTACAGGGTCAGCTGCCACACCTGGTTCCTTTTCAGTGTGTGTTGCTGTTGCCGTGGGGAAGCTCCAAACAAGAGTTAAAAAATGATTTCTGAAAGTAAGTTAACTTGATTACAGAGAACTGGTCAGTTCTTTCTTCCTTTCATCATTGCTGCTACTAATGCTGTGAGTTACAGGAAAACGAGTAGGCTTGGGCTGCTGTGATGTATCTTGGTATAGTGGATTTTCACTAGGGCCATTAGAGTTTACTTGCTCTTTTATGAAATGATGAGTCTTTTAATTAAACTTTAAAAGTATAATTGATGCAAAGGAAGAAATAAAATGTGAACTATAATACTGTAATTCCTTTTTTTTTTTTTTACTAAGGTATCATTGATATGCACTCTTATAAAGGTTTCACAAGAAAAACAATGTGGTTACTACATTCACCCTTACTATCGAGTCCCCCACCCATGCCCCATTGCAGTCACTGTCCATCAGTGTGGTAAGATGCCACAGAGTCCTTACTTATCTTCTCTGTGCTCCACTGTCTTCCCCATGACCCCACACACACCATGTGCACTAATAATGATGCCCCACAATCCCCTTCTCCCTTCCTCCCCACCTGCCCTCCCTCACCCCTCCCCTTTCGTAACCACCTATGCCTTCTTGGAGTCTGTGACTCTACTGCTGTTTTGTTCTTCAGTTTTGCTTTGTTGTTATGCTCCACAAATGAGGGAAATCATTTGGTACTTGTCTTTCTCTGCCTGGCTTATTTCACTGAGCATAAAATCCTCCAGCTCCATCCATGTTGTTGCAAATGGTAGGATTTGTTTTCTTGGCTGAATAGTATTCCATTGTGTATATGTACCACATCTTATTTATCCGTTCATCTACTGATGGTCACTTAGGTAGCTTCCATATCTTGGCTATTGTAAATAGTGCTGCAGTAAACATAGGAGTGCATATGTCTTTTTGAATCTGAGAAGTTGTTTTCTTGGGGTAAATTCCAAGGAGTAGAATTCCTAGGTCAAATGGTATTTCTATTTTTAGGTTTTTGAGGAACCTCCATATTGCCTTCTACAGTGTTTGAACTAGTTTATATTCCCACCAGTAGTGTAGGAGAGTTCCCCTTTCTCCACCTCCTTGCCAACATTTGGTGTTCCTAGTCTTTTTGGTGTTGGCCATCCCAACTGGTGTGAGGTGATATCATTGTGGTTTTATTATAATTCCTTTTTATCAAATAATTCATTTGGGGGGTTAGTCTTTTATTTATTTATTTATTTATTTATTTATTTATTTATTTTTAACTTTATCCCCTTCACCTATTTGAGGATTTAGCCTTTGAACTCAGTAAAGTACACACTGTGCAAAATCAGAATCTTCCCTCATATTATCTTTAAGCATGGATAGTTCTTTCTGGCCTTTTTTTTTTTTTTTAATTCTGGGAAATTTCAGATATGTAAGAGTGGAAAGAATAGTGATGAACCCCCATGTACTCATCATCCAACCTCAACAACGATCAATGCATGGTCAGTCTTTGTTTCTTTGTTATAATCAGATTGTTTTAAATCATGGTACGTTTTTAAAATTGAAAATAAATTTATTCTTAGTGTAGGCACTTCAGAAACTCTACATCATCGAAGAATTTGACACATAGAAAATCAAGAAGTAAGGACTATGATGTATATAGTGATAATGATGTCTACAATCAGGAACCAGAAGATAATTTTGCTAAAGAGCTTCAACAGTATATGCAAGCTAAGGAAATGGCAAATGCTGCTCAATCCTTACCATTTCCTGAAGAATCTATGAAAAAAGAGGGAGTGAAGGATACCCAGAAAGGTGAGAGTCAAATTATTTTATCATTTCAAGTTTATCTAAAGATCATGGTATTCTTGGATCTTTACCCCAGGCTTGAGCTTGCATGGGCTGAGACTACCTGCCACAACCTGGGCACCTAGTGCACAGATGCTCCATTTGCAGGAGTTTCTGAGAATACAGGAGGGTTATCAAGGGCCCTGACAGTGGTGAAAGGGAGAATACTAAATCCCTGGCTGCCACATGTGTGAAGGACAATATATGCTTGTTATATTGCTGTGAAACTAAAGAGGAATTGACTTAATGTAGGGTGGTAGTATGTCAGACTAAACTCAGAAGTGTATTCTTTTTGATTACTAAAATGTAATTTAGCCGTAAGTATGTGGACAAATGACAGTTGTAAATCAAATCCTTATTCCTCTGATTTTACCTTTATTTTTCCCCTTTATTTTCTGTTTAAAATGAGTCTATAAAAACTATTAATTGGTATAAAATATTTTCAGTGAAAAATGTGATAGTAATATATAAGTTCATTTTAAATACTTGAAGCTTTTACTGTTTTAGAGCTGTAGCAATTCCTAATTATATCCATCATACTCTGAACAGTTTAAAAGGATCTGGCTGTGGCTGGGAAGATTGATTTCATTAATTATCTTGATTTTCCTGCGAATACCTTATATTTTCACAAAGAATGAATTGGGGATCCAGAACATATTGATTCTTTTTTTTGGTCTCTTAATCCCAGAGCTTCTAGAAAGGTAGATCAGCATCTTACCAGTTTTTTACTGGAGAACTTTTCCTGGATTATTATAGAATACACTTCTTAAGAGTAAACTGCTATTGTACTTTTATATCATCTTAAAAATAAATTTCTTGTTTTTAGCTGTTAAACGAAAAAAAAAAAATCTTAAAGCTGTTCATAAGAATGGTAAACAGAAGAAAATGAAAAGAAAATGGCCTGGCACTGGAGACAAAGGATCAAATGCTTCACTGAAGCACAGTGGCTCACAGGAACAGGTAAGAATATATGCATGTAGGACACTTCCATACAAGCCACAGAATGAGGGTTCTCTAATGGTGAGAGTCTCTTACATCACTGGGCTCACCACATTCCTCCTCCTCACATGGCTGCTGCCTTCCCTGAGCTGCCAGCAGCCATTTGAAGCCTTTGTGTTGGGCCCCTGAAGAATAAGTGCACACGAGCCTTTGATTTTGAGTTTTGTACTGTCAGTGACTCTGGAAAAACTGGTGGGGCAGCTGGGGGAAGACAAAAGAGCCATGAGGACATTTCAAAGGCCACAGAGTCTTAGAGTCTCCACTGTTGCAGTCCATGGTCTATTGGTTCTTAACTCTCTCTGGAAATTAAAAATGAATAATCCTGAGCATTGGCCTTACCAAAAACCCCCTGCCCTCTTGGTATTTTGATTTTGCTTTGTGTTCCTCTACCTTGGTCTGCAGATGTCATCGGGATAGGACAGTAAGTAACCTCTCTGGACTCTGATTCTCTGAGGGCTTCTTAACTGAATGGCAGCCGTTTTTGTTAGGCTTTGTCCAGGAGACAAGTGTTAGAGGTGGCAAAATATTAGAAAAACCAAATACTTTAGATTCAAACTTATTTATATAAAATCTTGCCTCTCTCTATATTTTATAAATGAAGAATCTGAAGCCTTAGGGTTCAGGTAACTGCCTATGGTAACAAAGGGCCAGGCTGGGGCTGGAACTTTGTTTCCTGATCCCAGTCAGTATTCCCTGTCATTTGGTTTACATCAACTCAAATGATTATTCAGCCAAAGCTGACAGTCCTTCTACTTGAGGAAAAAATTACAAATATATATGTTAGAATTGAATAACATAACAAAATAAAACCAAAGACTTCAACTGACATGTATTTCTAAAACATAATTTTGGTGGTTCTAAGTGGAAATTTGACATTATTGTGAAGCAGATCACATAAATGTAGTCAGCTCCCTACTTTCCACATAATGAATTCCTAAAACTGTTTGGAAACTTGGTATGCAGAAGCTGTAAGGAGTATCACAAGTTAACATGCATGAAGTGGTTTATGTTTCTAAAGAGCTAAAAAATTCCTGTTTTGTGTTCATGGCTTTATTGCCATCTTTAAGGGTCTATTTCTAGTTATGTTTCTTAATTTGAGCTGGTCAGTATACCTAGCTCACACCTAGTGACCATTTCATTGAAATTAAAGGTGGTGTCTTATGATTTCCAGTTTTGTCCTCATTGTTCTAAAGAGTCTGTTCTTGGACTTTATTTTTTATCACGAGTAGTAGCACTTTCATTTTTTAATATATTTTCATTTTTTAGAAGTAAGGGCAAAGTATAATACTCAAACAACACTAGTGTTCAATGATGGAATGCTGTTGACACTGGCAAACATTTTTTTTCACCTTGTGTACGGAAGTCTAAATCTTACACATGAAGGCTTTTGTAATTTTTTAAAGGTTTAAAATGATTTGTGCAATGAAATAAAATACTTAATTTTCTGTTTCTCACATTTCCTTTTTGTTTTTGTTTTCAAAGGATGGTAAACCTAAAGAGAAGCAGCATGTGAGAATGAGTCAGGGATTCATCAACCAACACACAGTGGAACGCAACGGAAAGCAAATTTGTAAATATTTTCTCGAAAGAAAATGTATTAAGGTATAAAAATGTGTAAGCAAAGATAAACTAAAATGTAAGGTGTAGCAAAAATTACTAAAACCAGCTCCTATTTCCAATGGACACTCTAAAAGCATATCTATACATTTTAAAAACTGTTTCCTGCTGGAAAACATTCAATTAGAAAATTTTATGGAAATATTCTTTTATGTTTAAGAAAGATAATTTTCTAAAAATCATTCGTTTAGGACTTAAGATTTTAAGTAGATATATATACTGTGGTTAAAGATAACTTGTTAAGAATTAGACTGTACTGTTCTAAGACTCCTCATTTTCTATTGAAGTTTAGTAGGAATTATAATGATGTAGCTATGAAAAATAATGACTTTTTCTTGTTCCTTCTTTTGGCCCAGGGAGACCAGTGTAAATTTGATCATGATGCAGAGATAGAGAAGAAGAAGGAAATGTGTAAATTTTATGTACAAGGATATTGTACCAGAGGTGAAAACTGCCTGTATTTGCATAATATCCTTTATTACAAGAGATGGTAACTTTACTCTTCATAAATATTTACATGAACATTTAAAATCTGTAAAATTCTGAATGAAACCAGTATTTTAGCTATAGCAAAATTACATTATCCAAGCCCAATTCAGTATCGAAGTGATAAAATTCTACAAAGAACTTTTTTCCAGGAAAGAAAAGAGGGAATTTTTCTGTATTCATATAAGCTACTTCATAAAAAGAGGCAAGAATTGCATAACTTGGTATGCAGAAGCTGTAAGGAGTATCACAAGTTAACATGCATGAAGTGGTTTATGTTTCTAAACTATATGAAATATAGTTTTCTGTATATTCTGTACTGTTTAAAAGTTGAGGAATTTGAAGAATAACCCTAACTCTTAAGTGCAAATGGTACAAATATGTAGTGAAACAAATATTTTAGGGTAATATAGTACCTTTGGTTACCACAAAAGCTATATTCCTTCAGTCCTTCAATAGAAGGAATCATAAATTCTAACTTGAAGCTTTTTTCCTAGAAAACAGTATTGAAGTTGTATAAACTGAAACTCTTTTAAACAAACCTAATATATGAAAGATATAAATTTGTAGTACATATCATTGTCATTTTCTTTAATTGCCCCACCCCAAAAGAATGCTTTAAAAAGAATCACATTTCTCCAGGTATTTAAAATACACATCCCTTTCTTTTTTTATTATTTATTTATTTATTTATTTTCTTTTGATATCATTAATGTACAATTACTTGCACAACATTATGGTTACTACACTCCCCCCATTATCAAGTCCCCCCCACATACCCCATTACAGTCACTGTCCACCAGGGTAGTAAGATGCTATAGAATTGTCTTCTCTGCATATACTGCCTTTCCCATGTCACCCCCCCTGTACATTATATGTGCTAATCGTAATAGCCCATTTTCCCCCTTATGCCTCCCTCCCCACCCACCCTCCCCAGTCCCTTTCCCCTTGGTGACTGTTAGTTCATTCTTGGGTTCTATGAGTCTGCTGCTGTTTTGTTCCTTCAGTTTTTTCTTTGTTCTTATACTCCACAGATAGGTGAAATGATTTGATACTTGTCTTTCTCTGCGTGGCTTATTTCACTGAGCATAATACCCTCTAGCTCCATCCATGTTGCAAATGGTAGGATCTGTTTTCTTCTTATGGCTGAATAATATTCCATTGTGTATATGTACCACATCTTCTTTATGCATTCATCTACTGATGGACACTTAGGTTGCTTCCATTTCTTGGCTATTGTAAATAGTGCTGTGATAAACATAGGGGTGCATCTGTCTTTTTCAAACTGGGCTGCTGCATTCTTAGGGTAAATTCCTAGAAGTGGAATTCCTGGGTCAAATGGTATTTCTATTTTAAGAATTTTGAGGAACCTGCATACTGCTTTCCACAATGGTTGAACTAATTTACATAACCACCAGCAGTGTAGGAGGGTTCCCCTTTCTCTACATCCTTGCCAACATTTGTTGTTGTTTGTCTTTTAGATGGTGGCGATCCTTACTGGTGTGAGGTGATATCTCATTGTGGTTTCAATTTGCATTTCTCTGATGACTAGCGATATGGAGCATCTTTTCATGTATCTGTTGGCCACCTGAATTTCTTCTTTGGAGAACTGTTCAGTTCCTCTGCCCATTTTTTAATTGGCTTATTTGCTTTTCCTTTGTTGAGGTGCATGAGCTCTTTATATATTTTGGATGTCAACCCTTTATTGGATCTGTCATTTATGAATATATTCTCCCATACTGTAGGATGCCTTTTTGTTCTACTGGTGGTGTCCTTTGCTGGTGTCTATTGGTGGTGTCAGTTTTATGTAGTCCCAGTTGTTCATTTTTGCTTTTGTTTCCTTTGCTCAGGAAGATATGTTCATGGAGAAGTTGCTCATGTTTATGTCCAAGAGATTTTTGCCTATGTTTTTTTCTAAGAGTTTTATGGTTTCATGACTTACATTCAGGTCTTTAATCCATTTTGAGTTTACTTTTGTTTATGGGGTTAGACAATAATCCAGTTTCATTCTCTTACATGTAGCTGTTCAGTTTTGCCAACACCAGCTGTTAAAGAGGCTGTCATTTCCCCATTGTATATCCATGGCTCCTTTATCATATATTAATTGACCATATATGCTTGAGTTTATATCTGGACTCTCTATTCTGTTCCACTGGTCTTTGGGTCTGTTCTTGTGCCAGTACCAAATTGTCTTGATCACTGTGGCTTTGTAGTAGAACTTGAAGTCAGGGAGCGGAATTCCACCTGCTTTGGCTATTCAGGGTCTTTTGTCATTCCATATAATTTTTAGAACTGTTTGCTCTAGTTCACTGAAGAATGCTGTAGGTATTTTGTTAGGGATTGCATTGAATCTGTAGATTGCTTTAGGTAGGATGGCCATTTTGGCAATATTAATTCTTCCTAGCCAAGAGCATGGAATGAATTTCCATTTATTAGTGTCCTCTTTAATTTCTCTTAGGAGTGTCCCATAGTTTTCAGGGTATAGATCTTTCACTTCCTTGGTGAGGTTTATTCCTAGGTATTTTATTCTATTTGATGCACTTGTAAGTGGAATTGTTTTCCTGATTTCTCTTTCTGCTAGTTCATTGTTAGTGTATAGGAATGCAACAGATTTCTGTGTATTAATTTTGTATCCCACAACTTTGCTGAATTCACATATTAGTTGTAGTAGTTTTGAAGTGGATTATTTAGGGTATTTTTATGTAGAATATCATGTCATCTGCAAACAGGGACAGTTTGACTTCTTCCTTACCAATCTGGATGGCTTTTATTTCTTTGTTTTGTCTGATTGCCGTGGCTAGGACTTCCAGAACTATGTTGAATAACAGTGGGAAGAGTGGGCATCCTTGTCTTGTTCCCGATCTTAAAGGAAAAGCTTTCAGCTCCTTGCTGTTAAGTATGATGTTGGCTGTGGGTTTGTCATATATGGCCTTTATTTTGTTGAGGTACTTGCCCTCTGTACCCATTTTGTTGAGAGTTTTTATCATGAATGGATGTTGAATTTTGTCAAATGCTTTTTCAGCATCTGTGGAGATACACATCCCTTTCTTTTATCCGTGAGGTATACCTGTAGTCTATTGTAGAATGAATATGAAGGAAAAAAAGTGTCCTGTACTGTAATAAAACTTGATTTATGTAATCTTACTAAAATTAGATTTTTTTCATGTGACCCAATAAATAATTTTTCATCTCATATTTTAAATAGAGAACTCAATGTTTCTACTAGTAGAAAAGGCCTTTGTTAGGAAAATAGAGTCCCTAAATTAGTAACATTATTTTAGTTGGATTAAAATTGTTCTCTTCCTTAACATTTGGGGTTACATGAATATCCTTGCAAGTTTTATCATACAGGAGCAAAATGTTACCAGGGAGAATATTGCAAATTTTCACATGCTCCACTGACTGCTGAAACACAAGAACTCTTGGCTAAAGTAAGTATAATTTAAATTTTTGTTTTTCTTTTTAAAGAATGTGTTTGAACTAAGGGTGAGAATTTGAAAATGTACTATTCTGTAAGGAGAATGCCTCATGAGTTAGTATATGAGAAATATTAAGACTGGTGATCTAAGAATTTATTTCAGTTTAGAAAATGATATTCATTTGTTTATTTTACCTTGTAGCTTAATGGAAAATTTATACTTATGGCTGGCATAAATCGGAATGTTCTTTAAACCTTCAATGTAGTTAGCAACCTTAGTAGCTAAAATAACCAGAGGGAAAAAAAGCAAATAGGAGAAATTGTACCACTGTTACACCCTTAGAAGGAAAAATTCAGGGTCACTGGTTGATAAATATTTTAAGAGTTACATCAAAGGATACTGAAGTTGTTATTTCAAAGTTTTCTTCAAATATTATTTCAATGTATGAGAAAAGGTAATTGAACTCAGTTCTCATATAGGTGAAAATAAAAGATTCTTTTAAAAGCAAATCATACCATCTTGTGACACAAGTTCCCTTGAGCTTATACAAATATTAGAAAGTCAAAGGGTGTTTATTTCTGGATATTTTTAGGTTATAAAATATGAAGGGTTTCCCTGGAATTAGAAGTCATACCAATATTTTGTCATTTATTAATATGAAATATATATGGAAAAAATGATACATGTAAGTAATTTTTCAGTTCCTCTTAGAGTAAACATTATTAGATGTTTACTAGAATGAATATTATTGGAATCATTAGAAAATTATGAGACTATTAAAATGTACCTGAGATATTAATGCATAAAAATGATTGATTTTTTTTTCTTATTAGGTTTTGGATACTGAAAAAAAGTCATGAAAATAAAAAGGTAAAATTAGAATTTTGCACATTTCTCTTTTTTTTTCAAACGTCTTTAGAAGCTGGCATGAAGACATTGGCATTTCAGTTTAGAAAATGATATTCATTTGTTTATTTTACCTTGTAGCTTAATGGAAAATTTATACTTATGGCTGGCATAAATCGGAATGTTCTTTAAACCTTCAATGTAGTTAGCAACCTTAGTAGCTAAAATAACCAGAGGGAAAAAAAGCAAATAGGAGAAATTGTACCACTGTTACACCCTTAGAAGGAAAAATTCCATTTTCTCATAGGGCTTTCTCTAGAAATCTTTTTCTTTTTCCTCCCCCACTAAAAAATTATAAAATATTTCATACATTCATAGATAAATACATGGGACTCCATGGACCTCCTTTCATCTCTGGGCTTGTTACTATCTTTTGTGTTTTTATTTTCCTCTTTTGTTTCCTTGTAGATTTAACAAATGTGTGCTAGTTTCGCTTGTGTATGAATTTTATTTAAACAGTATTGTACTCTATTGATGACTTGTTATTTTCACTCAACAGAATGCTTCTAAGATTTATTCATGTAGATGCATGCCACTGTCATTCATTCATTTTTTACTCTTATGTAACATTTCATTCTGTGAATATGTTATAATTAGTCATTTTACTACTGATGCACATTTAGGTTATTTTCAAATTTTAAAATATAAGCCATACAAATAATCATATACATGTCTCCTGATGTAATTATGTGTGAATTATCCTGGGTATATACCAAAGAGTAGAATTGTTGTATCATCCTAAAATTTAAGATAATGGCAATCTTCTCTAAAGTAGTTGTAACAGTTCATACTCCCACCAGCTGTGTAAAAACAACTGTTGCTCCATACCTGATAATACTTTGTAATGTCAAGACTTCATTTTTTTATCAATTTAGTGGGTGTGACATAGCTTTCTTTTCTTTTTTTATTGAAATTTAATTTATATACAATATTATGTTTTAGTTTTATTTTCTTATGCTTCTAGCTTTTGAGTGTCATCTTTGGTAAAATGCCTGTTACTGCCTTTTGCCTATATTTCAGTTGGGCTGGTAGTCCTTCATTAAATTGACTTTATATATTCCTGATATAGTCCTTTGTGGGATATGTGGAGCAGGTCTTGTTTTATTTTGTGTGCTATGTTTTCACTGTTTTTGAGGTGTCTCAATGAGCAGAATTATTTTGGCAATCTTTCTCTTTATGGTAGGTTTTGTGTTTTGTGTTTTACTTAAATCCTTTCCTATCATGAAGTTATAATTTATTTAATACATTCTTTTTGTTTTTTTATTTTGCTGATTTCCACTTAATTTTTATTTCCTTCCTTCTGTTTGTTTTGTGTTTAGTTTGTTCCCATGTAGACTTTGAGCATCAGTCTGCCAAGTCCCTCTTCCCCCAACAAAGCAAAATAAAAATGTAATGCTTTGTGGTTTTTTATTGGAATTTCTTCAGTTTTATGCATCATTTTGGAAAAAATTGATAACTTTGTGATAGTGAGTTTTTCAATCTGTGAATATTTTATCTGTAGTTTTTTAAATGTCTTTTGATAAAGTTAGGGTTTTCTCCAGTGAACCTGCACATTTTTGCTAGATTTTTTCTTACATAATGTATAATTTTGGATGTTACTCTGACTTAAGATTTTTAAAGGTGATTTTTCTGAATTTAATTAGGACCTTTGCTAATCTCTATATTAAATTTTAAAATTATAGTAAATTTTTCTGCATTTTTTCCTGTCGAGTTATCTGTCAATAATGATTTTTATTCCTTTTGCAATTCTCATTTCTTTTTTCTTTTTCTTTTTCTTGCATGGTTGACTAGAACTTGCAGTACAATGTTTAAAAAATCAACTATATTAAAGTCTACTTATATACAATAAATTGCACCCATTTTAAGCATACAGTTCCATGTAACCACCACCACAATCAGCATATTCATCACCCCAGAATGTTCCCTTGTAACATTTTGTAATCCATTTTCTTCCATCAGGTCCCAGAGAACCACTAGTATTCTTTCAGTAAGGATAGATTTGTTTTACCAGTTCTAAAATTTCGTGTAAGTAGAACCCCATCCTGTGTACTCTTGTGCTTTGTGTTTGTTGTGCAGTGCAGTATTTTGTTTCAAGCTTCATGATTTTGCATCTGTCAGTAGTGTGCTTCTTTTTACTGCTGTGTTGTATGCCTTTCCATGGATGTCCTTCAGTTTGTTTTTCTACTCATCAGTTGATGGAAATTTGGCTATATGAATAAAACTTCAGTGCACATTTATACTCAAGTTTTTGTGGCAGTACAATTTTAAATAAAAGGGATTGTGCAGTTTCATCCTAGATTGTAAAGGGACTGCTAGTAATATTTACCCACTGACTACAATGTGTGCTGTAATTTTCTGGTAGATACTCTTTATTAGGTTAAGTAAATACTCTTCAAATTATAGTTTGATAAAAGTTATTGAGCTTTTTGTTATGTTTTATAATCATGATGAATAGATGTAGATATTGGATTTTTTGGAGTTCTTTTGAGATAATCATAGGATTTTTCTGTTTACTCTGCTAATGTGACAATTATATCTATGGATTTTTTTTTATCTATGGATTTTAAAAATGTTAGCTACCCTTGAGTCCTTGAGATAAACTATGTTTTCTAATTTAAATTAAGAATTTTCAAGTATTTTGGCATAATGTTCATGATATTCTCTTCTTAATGTCTGTAGTTATATCTTCCTTTTCATTTCTTACAATTATTTGTGTCTTCTATTCCTGATCAATGGTTTGACAGTTCTATAAAGAACTGTCTTTATAAAGAACCAATTTTGCTTTTGTTATTTCTATTTTATATTGATTTTCCATTTCATTAATTTCTGTTGTTATATCATTCCCCTTACATTCTTGGGTTCATTTTGCCCAAAGATTGGGTGTTAGCTTTTTTCTTTTCTAATTCATACATCGATGCCTATAAATTCCCCTTAAGGTACTATTTTACTTACATCCCAGAAGTTCATTTCTTTCATTAAGTATTTTTAATCAAGGTAATGTATGCAGATAGTTTTAAAACTCACATGGTTTTACAAGGATTACCATGGGAAAAAAATGACCAAAAAAAAAACATTCATTTTATGATTATGTCTGTAAATACTGACAAGGCTTCCTACAAAATTCAGCACTCATTCCTTATTTAAAAATAAACTCTACAGGCAATAGGAATGGATGAACACTTTTTCTTTTTTTACTAACTGTGGTAAAATACAAGTAACGTAATATTTACCATCTTAACCATTTTAAGTGTATGACTCAGTGGTATTAAGTACATTCACATTGTTATGCAACCATCCCTACCATCCGTCTCCATAACTCTTCATCTTGTAAAACTGAAACTCTATACCCATTAAATAATAACTGCTTATTCTCCCCTAAGCCCTTGGCAACCACTTGTTGTCTTTGATTTCAACAACTGTAGGTACCTCATGTAAGTGGAATCATATAGTATTTGTTTTTTTGTGACTGGCATATTTCACTTAACACAATGTTTTCAAGGTTGATCTATTTTGTAGCATACATCAGAATGTCCTTTTTAAGACACAATAATATTACATTGTATATATCTACCACATTTTGTTTATTCATTCATCTGTTGATGGTTACTTGGGTTGCTTACATGTTTCAGCTATTGTGAATAATGCTACTATAAACATGATGTACAAATATCTTTTATAAGCTCTGTTTTCAATTCTGGGTATATACCTGAAGTGGAATTGCTAGATCATGTGGTAATTCTATTTTTAATTTTTTGAGGAACCACAGTGTTGTTTTTCCATAGCAACTGCACCATTTTGCATTCCTACCAACAGTGCACAGGGTTCCAATTTCTCAACATTCTAACCAGCAATTTTTATTTTCTGGTTTTTTATAGTAGCCATCCTAATGGGTGTGAAGTGGTATGTCATTGTAGTTTCAGTTTGCATTTCCCTAATGATTAGTGATATTAGCATCATTTCATGTGCTTATTGGCCATTTGTATATCATTTTTGGAGAAATTTAAAGGACTTTTCAAGCGCTTTACCCATTTTTGAATTGAGTTACTATTTTTTTTTTTGAGACTTAGATGTTCTCTATATATTCTGGATAATAATCACTTATGATATATATGATTTTCAAATATTTTCTCCCATTCTGTAGATTGCCTTTTCCCTCTGTTGATAATGTCCTTTGATGCACAAGATTTAAAAATTTTTCATGAGGTCCAATTTTCTTTTGCTACCTGTGCCTTTGGTGTCATATTCAAGATATCATTGCTGAATCCAATGTTGTAAAACTTTTATTTTCTCCTAAGTTTTATCGTTTTAGTTCTTTAGGTCTTTGATTCATTTTTTGAGTTAATTTTTATATATGGTGTTAGGTAAGGTCCAGCTTCATTTTTCGCATGTGAATATCTAGTTTTCCCAGCACCAGTTGTTTAAAAGACTCATTTCTCCCATTGAATGGCTTTGGCATCCTTGTCAAAAATCATTTGGCCATATATTCAAAGGTTTATTTCTGGGCTCTGTGTTGTGTTCCTTTGGCTTATATGTTATATCAGTACCACACTGTTTTAATTATTGCTTTGAAATCAAAAAGTGTGAGCCCCAAGCCTTGTTCTTTTTCAAGACTGTTTTGGCTATTTGGAGCCCCTTGAGAGTCTATGTGAACTTTAGGATGGATTTTTTTATTTCTACAAAAAATACTGTGATTTTGATAGGGATTGCATTGAAACTGTAGATTGCTTTGGGTAGTACTGATAACAGTATTGTCTTCCTATCCATGAACATGGGGTGTCTTTCCGTTTATTTATGTCTTCTTTAACATCTTTCAGCAATGTATTATACTTTTCTTTATGCAAGTCTTTCACCTTATTGATTAATTCCTAAGACTTTTATTCTTTCTGTGGTATAGTAAATGTAATTGCTTTCTCAATTTCCTTTTGATTGTTTGTTGTTAGTATATACAAATGCAACTGATTTTTGTGTATCAACTTTGTATCCTACTGCTTTGCTGCATTTATTTTTTAGTTGTAACAGTTTTTTTGTGAAATCTGTAGTTTTCTACATATGAGATCATTGGGTGGATGTTTTCTTAACATGATAAAATATGTTATACCTTAATAAGAAAGCTAACATCATACTTAATGGGGATACAGTAGAGGCATTTCTACTCAAAGATTGTATTCCATGGGACCGTCTAGTTTCTAGAAGTTAAATGGAATTCCCCTCTGAAAACATCTGCATCTGGTACCAGTTTCCTTTAAAGTGTCCTTGATGAAGTAGTAGAAATTATTAATATTATTAAATCTCAATTCCTCAATACATGTCTCTTAAGCATTATGTTTAGCAAAATGGAACCACTTTTTCACAAATGAGTGAAGTGAGCCTGTCACTTCAGGGAAAACAACTGAAAATATTTGTTATCAATGATAAAATGCTGGCTTTTGAGTGAAAATTAAAATTTTGAAACATGTGATCTGCCTCTGAGCTTGAAACCTTTCTTGTGCCTAAAGACTTTTTGGTGAGATTGGTTGGTGATACTAAAGAATATGATTTTTAAAATACTGTATAATGAAACATTTGAAAGAGCTAGATAAGTTAGTAAGCTAATGTTTTCCAAGTAAAGTGTATGATGTTACATAATTATGCATGGGTAAAAAACATCCATCCAACCTACAATATAGTAGAAAAGTGGATTTTACTATAACAGTAGAAAAAGTTCCTTGATGTGGTTTCAGATTCTGCATTGCAACTAGAAATTTGTTTGCATTTGCTTTTAATATTCATTTGCCCATTACTTTATTTTTAGCTTTTCTGAGTAAGTTTTCAGTTTGTTTCTTATATGGAGCATATGATTGGTTTTTCTCTGTAAACCATACTAAAATTCCTTTTTTCTTTTGATAGGTGAGTTAAACCCACTAACATTTATTCAAATGACTGAGCATTTGGTATAGCTTCTATCATTATGTTACAGTTACTGTGTCTATTATGTTATAGTTGTGTGTTTTCCCTATAGTTTTTTTGTTCTTTAATAAATTTTACTATCTTTACCTCATTTTTATTCTTTTCCCACTTTTATCCAATAATCCTTACTAAATTTCCATTCAAATCTGTCCTGTCTTACAATATACTTTTCTTTTTTGATAGTATATTTTTCCCCCATCATTTCTGAGGTCAGTCAACTCTTGTTTCATTACTTCCATTTTTTGTTCTTAATTTTTAACTTCAATTCATTTTTTCATATTCCAAATAAACAGGTTTTTAATTCAGTTTGGATTTTTTTTTATAGTTTTTTTCTGCATGTTACTTTTGGGAGAGGGAGTGGGGGTGGCTAAGTTGTTAATTTTCACCAGTTGATGTGCTTTTGTCTGTTTTCTTCCATAGTTTTGTGTCGGTGAAGAATGCTTGTGTCTGTGCCTGTTCAAGACTGTTAATTTGGAGTGGTTTACAAGTTCCTCATTTAAAGTGCCCTCTTGTGTCCTAAGGATGATGTGCAAATCCTTTAATGGATGGTGCTGGGGGACAGAATCTAGTGTATGACTGAAGGGGTTGATCTTCAAGCGAGATGGTCCAGCCATTGCAGTGGGAGAGAAGCACATGTAGCAGAGATGCTGGCTGGCGGGTAAACGTGATGAATTGCAGAAGTCTTTTTTGATGAGTTCTCTCTATAAAATTGGAAGCAGAGTTAGGCTGAGAAGATAGAAGAAGAGGTGAGGAGATTTGAAGAGAGACAATTGTTAGATTTCTCTAGGAAGATTTTGGGATAATAGATGATGAATATACAGTTATATCTTTTCATGTCATTAAATACATTCAGAACATATTTTTAACAGTTGCTCACAATTTTATTTTGTGGCTGAAATGATGGTTCTGTGATTTCTAGCCAGTTTCCTGTTGTTGGACATTTAAATTGTTTCCAATTTCTTACTATTATAAATAAAATGGAATAATGTCTCTTGCTATACCACTCCTAAACTTGCAGTCCTTAACTTTTTTGTTGTTAAGATAAAAGTGTGGTTATCTTTCTTATTGGTTTATAAAATATAGTCAGATTATACACTTGGATTAAATGTAAATTGTCAGAGTATGATGATATCCTTAACATAATGCTCAAATACAAAATTTTCCAAACACAAATGAGATTCTAAATATGCACTTTTATATAGTGGTACTGGTTATTATTAGAAAAATACTGTGAAACTTGAACTGTGACCACCATGCTGTTTTATTGCTGGGAAGAATAACACATCACTAACTTGCCACACATAAGAGTACACCAGAGTTAGTGACACTTCTTAGCAAACTCATATTTGGAAATATGAGTCAGAATTATTTTGGTTGTAACATAACCTACTAAAGTAAGTAAGAAAGGGAACTGTATATACTCCAAGCAAAGGTTTATTAGACAAAACTTAGGAAAGGAAGAAACCAGGGTAGATCCTGGGCCTCTATAGCATCAGGAGTCTGAGAGCTGAGGTAATCATTTCTCAGTGCACCACTGCTGTCTGCCAGGTAGATTGCTTCGCTCTCTGGCTGTGGGCAGGGAGAAGGGCAAGGCAGGGAGGGAAGGTGTGGGGGGAAGTCAGACAGAGGCTGAGTTGCTCCTTTAAATGAGTCTATTATAAAAACCTTAAATAATTTAATGAAATTGTACAAGGGAGTGGTTATATTACCTGTAGAATTGATACTTTGTATCTTCAAAGAATACATACAATTTAAAAGAATTCAAGATCCTGTCATAGCTCACAAATATAGAAAGTAAATTTTATGACAGATCTTTATGTAAGCTAACATTGGCTGACATGTATAATAAGCTAACATTAATGCTCACTTATGTGCAGGCATTATGCTCTTTTATTGAATGCCCAACTTTCTTATTTAAGCCTCATAACTCGGAAGTGGTTAATGGAATCCATTGCATTTAAAAGGAGTAAATAGGAATATTTACCTTATATTTTTTCTATTTTCATAAGCCTTGAAAATACTTTTATTTAATTTTATATGACAGTTTAACAGCTTATTTCCTTACAATACTACCTCATGTATAGCTTAATACTTACCAGATATAAATGTTTATATATAAAGTTTACATAAAAAGTAATTTTTTTTATATTCCAAGAGACAATACCCATCTCACTTGTAGACTTAAAAGACCTTTAGGTTTGAAGAACTAAGCATGCAGACAAGTTTAAAAGGCTCTCATTTTACAGCTGTTATTCTGAGGAGGCAGAGTGTTGTGTCAGTGAAATCTTTTAACTTGTATGTTTCATCAAGTTGAGGGAGAGACACACTCTCTCAGATACACCCTGTGGACCTCAAGCAGCCAGTAGACTGTGGGTCTCTTATATGAGTTATTACAGCACCTTCCAACTCATCTCCTGCATGTTTTCCACTTCTGTACAGTTCCCTTTTGTTTCCTCAGAGCAGATTTCCCAGTACACTCTGTCAGCCATGCCTCCCCTGGGTGGTACCAAATCAGGGTCCATCTATCTGCCTAGTGTTATGTTCTCTGTCATCTGGCTGTCTCAGCCATACCAAGCCTTAGTTCCTACTGCCCTCAGTTCCTCTCTGCTTCTGTGAAGTAAATCTCACTGACCCTTCATACAGCTCCAAGCAAGCACACATACAATAAAGCTGTAGTTAAAAAAATCTGGACCAGAGGAAATATGTGTAAGAAGGTTGTACTGGGGAACACTGTACATGAATTTACATGTCATTTGGCTAACAGGGTTACCAGAAATTTATCTCTGATCTTTTTTGTAGCCAAAACAGAAAAAGGAAGTAACTATCTATTTATCTCTTATTATCAGAAAAGTAGTGTGGAAAACCTAACCTCTCCTATTAGTAGTTTCATAAAAAGTCTTAAATGGGTCTTCATTGTGGAAATCACTGAAGAGAATGGATAAAATCCTCATTTGTAAGATTCTGTGTGACAGCTTTCATATAACTTTTTTGTGGTCGGTGTTAAAAGCCACATGACAGTAAAACTCAATTTTTGCCAGTTGGTAAGATAATGTAAGTCAGGTATATAGTCTTTTGGTGTTTTGACTTGATCTAATTTTACAATTTAAGGAATTCAGACCCAGGGATGTTTAGTGACTTGTCCCCTGTCTTAATAAGTTTCCTGACTTCCAGCACAAGGGTGTCAGTTCACTGACTAGTTTTGATAAGCACAGCCATTGGGAGGTTGCATTCAAAGATTTCTTCTGGCAGTTGCCTGTTAAGGTCCAAATACTCTAATTTGGTGATCTGGCCTAAGGAATAGGGAGCTCAGGCTGCCGATTAGAAGCACAAACACCGTATTTGGGGGTCATTGAGATTAGGATATCTCAGGGTAAGCACCTGCTAAGTGCTAGGGTCCTATACAGACCATATTACAGTCCTGTGGTAAGGCTTATCACAGTAATCCCTGTTGTTACCACTTACAGATGGGGATCATTATAGTGATAACATTGCTACTATTTATGGATGAGGAAACCTCGCCTGTAGGAAGGCATTCCCCCCGCTGAGTCTCTGTAGCCTTAAGTTTTTAGTTGTACACCTTCACACAGGTTTGTTCCCCTTCACAACAGTTTCAGTTTGGCTTAGATGTGCCCCTGCCTCCATATGATTGTGCTTTGTGGATGGGGGGGCCAGTATCAACGGTCTAAAGTTGTTCTGAACATTGGCTTGACCTTGGAATCACCTGGGAAACTAAAAACACTGTTGTCTGGAGCTCACTTCCAGAAATCCTGATTCTTTTGTCGGGGTCAGGGGTAGAGGTCTGGTGTATGGCATGAGATTTTCAGTAGCTCCCAGGTAATTCTAAAGCAGAGCCAAGGTTGAAAACCACTGGTCTCGACAACTAATGAAAGTGCTGTTCCTGTCAGTGGTTGGTTTAGGCTTGGAATATGAGCACATGTCCTCTGGTGCACTTCCGAAAAGTTTACATCTTTTGAGATCCCTGGAAGAGGTGAGACAGCACCATGTCTAGACAATGCCACCCAGAACTGATACAGCTGTCTTTTGGCCTCCAGGGGAGCTAGCTGTCTAAAGATGATAGAGAACAAACTTGGGAAGAAGCTGGGTCCTTGATAACAACTGAACCATGGAATTCATTAACCTTGGGAGATATACAACCTTCCAGTTACATGTTATACCACATGAAATAATGTATTTTCTTTACTATTCAAGCCATTTTGGTTTGCATTTTCTGTTACCTGCAGCCAAGGGCAAGCTAATTAATGTGAGCCAAGAATCAAACCCACATTCGTCTGCCCAAATTCTACATTTTTCCCCCAGCCCCACCCTCTTCACAGAAGACTGCATTCACTGTCTCAGCTCCTGCTGACAGCACACAGTGAAAAACAGGTGTAAGGAAGAAGGGAACATGACAGTGGGGAGGGCTATTTTCATTACATAGATCAGAAACTGGGAAGGAATTAGATAAGTTATTTAGAAGAGTTAAGAGGAAAGGAGAGAATGAATCTTGCATAGGGAGGGCTCAGAAGCCACTCAAAGTAGTACTAATTACTGTGCAATTTGCAACAGTCTTCACATTATTTAAAAATAAATTAAGAAAAACTAGACTTTAAAAACTGCATGTGTAGTTGATACACAGTACTGCTTTCAGGTATACAGCACAGCCATTTTGCAATTGGTTACAGTATGAAATGCTCACCACAGTAAGTGTGGTAACCACCTGTCACCACACAAAGGCATTACAGTGTTACTGACTATATTCCCCATGCTGTACCTTCCTCCCTGCAACTTATAACTGGAACTTTGTACCTCTTTATCCCCTTCACCTATTCTGCCTGTCCCTCACCTCGCACCCTCACTCTGGCAACCACCAGTTTGTTCTGTATGTGTGAGTATAAAACAGACATATTTTTAGTTACTATATGTCATTAATTCTGAGAGACACATGTCTTTTCATAGTTAACATCTCTGATATTGGAATGTATTTCACAGTTGATAGAATATCACGTTTTAGGTAGAGGTTATTTTTTTCTTATTGGTGCCTAAAAAATAGCAGATTTTACTAAGTAACATTGGGATTTGATTAAATGTAATTTTTAACTGAAATCACATATATACATAGTCAAAAGTTTACTGTGAAAATGTGTGATTAAATTTATTTTAGAATAATTATGAAAATAAAAAGCTTTTTAATGAAAGTCTGGTCCCCTGTCTCCCCAGTCCCTCCTTTGTGGAAGACAGAATTTTAATTAAATTGGCTCTAAGATTCCTTGCGCCTTGTGTATAGGACCTGTATAATCCTTTGAGTATGGGCATTACCATGAGTATGATGGGTTTCACCCATGGTTAACTTACATTGTATGTCAAAGATGAACTGGCTTTACCTTTGCCAGAGCTGAGATCTCAGATCAGTTGGTTTTGATTAATCAGAAAGGAGGTGATCCTGGGTGGGCCCCAGCTAATCAGATGAACCCTTAAAGAGACAGGCCCTTCTTGAAGCCAAAGATTTAGAAGCATCAGAGAGATTCTACCAGCCTTCAGGAAGTAAGTTGCCATGTCCTGAGAGGACCATGTGTCTAGACAGCTGAGAGCAACCCTCGAATGACATGGAAGGAGTAGGAGCCTCGGTCACAACCACCAGTTACTGACTTCTGCCAACAATCTGAATGAACTTGGAAGATGGCTTACCTTGTATGTTCCTGCCCTTGCCATCAAGTCAGCTATTTCTCTGAAGAGCCCAGATTCCTTGAAACTGAGGACAGTATTTACCACCCAGGATCTGGCTGCTGAATATGCTCTTTGCTGCTGAGTCTGTCAGATGCAGACAGGCCCCGGGAATGCACTGTGGCTGTCCTATAGATCAAAAAGTGGCAGTTTGTGGGGAATGGGGCTTTTGATGAGTTCCAGATCTGTTCTCCCCACTCTGGTGACAGCTAGGCTGCAGGTTCACAGTTTCTGGAGTTTCTGAGCTGTTAATCTCCCTGGCTACTGTGCAGTTGAGGAGGGGAAAATGAGATTAAGGCAAGTTACTGCCCCAAGGCCTTTTTCCAGAATTCCACTCTTTGTGCTCAATAAATTCTCTTTGAATTGTTACAAGCCTTTGATTTGCAGAATTCTGAAAAAAATTGATTTTGGTTGTTTCTGCCAGTGTTCTCATGCCTTCTCTGGAGTATTGCATTTTCAGAGATCCTTAGTCTGCCATTTCAGAAGTGGAAACTCTGATTTTTTTAAGTATAGTTTGACATTTTTAAGTATAGTTTAACATCATAATGCCTTTTTTTCATATTTGCACTTTAGAAATATTTAAGACTGCCATAGAGACTGAATATGTGCCATATTCTAGTCCTTTCATTCCCGAATCCCCCTTTGTGCCTCACTGTCCAGAGACTCCTCTTCCTGGCAGGATGCTCCTCAGTCCTGAGCATTTAGGGCCTTAACTCCTCCAAATGTGTAAGCTACCTTTTTCAGGGGTTCCACAGAATGGCTTTATTTACCATTCACATACATCTTGAGTAAGTATGAGTTTATATCCCAGCTGGATCCTACGCAAAAATATTTGAAATTTATTTGCCTGGATGTGTTGCTTGGCAGGTCTATTTGTTACATAATAATATAAATGGGACTTAAATCTTAGACTTCCTGAACAAATTTGTGATTCAGCCCTGTATCTGCTGACACAGCAGCTCTTTTCAGCCTTCTGTATGCCCGCGGACTCCAAGCCAGTTTAAACTTCCTTGAGTAGCTGAATTCTGTTAAGTGAACCTGGAATCAACAGAAACGCTCCTTATTTCAGCCAAATGCACATAAAACAGTCATTCCAGTCTACGAAGAAGGAAAACCTGGCCCCAGTGAATCCCTGGTTGTCTCGGGCTGAATGCTTGTCCCTGTGCAGCTCTGAAGGGTTCTGTGTTCTCCCCAAACTGGGCAGATGATGGGCACGGCCCCTCAGTAAACAAACCTGCCAGCTCACCTGGCCCCAGCCACAATAGTGCTTCAGTGCAGGGCTCTCTCTGCTCTTTGGGATATGCCCTACAGCTAATTGGTACTAGGAAAAAGGGAAAAGACCTTGACCTTCTGAATGGGATATTCAAACCCCTCTGTCTGGGGAACAAAAGGCCTCACAGGGAAGGGGTACCCAGTAACAAGTGGGGAGACCTGGGAGATAGCTAGGAAGATACTGCAGGTGCCCATAGCTTCTGTTCTGTTACATTTCTGCAGAAAACTGCTGTAACAAGGCTGTGGGATGGGAACTGCAAGAAGAATCCTGAAATAGGCCTCCTGGGCCTACCCACGAATTTGCGAGGTCTATTGTTCCAAACCCGCCATGTCCAGTCACAGGATTGGGAAATGGGGTTTGGCCACGCTCTTGGCCTCGCCTCACTGGCCTTCCCTCATTCTTCTGAGGCCTCACCCACATTTCCTGTGTTGTTAGGGGGCAGCTTTAGTGAACATCAGGCAAAGGCGCCGCTCACCCTCCACCCTTGTGGTCTCAGCAGCCCTCACACCCCTTGTCATAAATTGTCCTCCCTGATATTCTGGAAGCAGCACAGGGCCCTCAGTGTTCCTGTCTTGTTCAAGTCTGTATTCCCTGTAAGGATCAGGCATACAAGAGGCCCTCCCTTAATAATCATTGAGTCACTGAAATACTAAACCATTAAAGGGGTATGGTCTTTCTCCTCAACCATGTGAAAAATGGTGGGCCTTACAGTGAAAGAGTAAAAAGGATTTTTTAAATGTTTAAGCCTTGAAGGGGTAGAAGCCAAACCATAAGGTGACACAGATGGAGGTGATGTGTCTTCCTGCTCAGGTCACTCAAGAACTTCTGGGACCAAGAGCACTGCTGGCTGTCTCCCTGCCTCGAAGCAGAGGGGCCTTGACTTAAGAGTTCAGCTTAGGATTTTTCAACTTTACGATGGTGTGAAAGTGATACACATTCAGAAGAATCTGCACTTGAACTTTGATTTCTCTTCTGATGCTGGGCAGGAGCAGTGCGCCTCAACTCCGGATGAGCCTCGCAGCCATGAGGGTAACCAACCCATACACTGACAGCTGTTCTGTTTTTCCCTTTCAGTACAGTATTCAAGTTACAGGAGATACTCAGCACTTATATAGAGTAAGCTTTGTGTTAGACGGTTTTGCCCAACTGTAGGCTAATGTAAGTGTTCTGAGCGTGTTTAAGGGAGGCTGGGCTGAGCCATGATGTGTCATAGATTTGGTGTTCTCAATGCATTTTTGACCTACAATGGGTTGATGAGGACGTGATCTATATGTGACACTGACATGCACTGGCCTTCCCTCATGTGAGGTGCCCTCCAAGGTCTTGCACAGTTCCTCCTGAACAAGCCATCCTCCTAGCCTATTTACAAACTTGGAACTTTTAAACTGGTACCAGCTACCTAGTACACACCATGCACACCCATGGTTAACTTACATTGTATGTCAAAGATGAACTGGCTTTACCTTTGCCAGAGCTGAGATCTCAGATCAGTTGGTTTTGATTAATCAGAAAGGAGGTGATCCTGGGTGGGCCCCAGCTAATCAGATGAACCCTTAAAGAGACAGGCCCTTCTTGAAGCCAAAGATTTAGAAGCATCAGAGAGATTCTACCAGCCTTCAGGAAGTAAGTTGCCATGTCCTGAGAGGACCATGTGTCTAGACAGCTGAGAGCAACCCTCGAATGACATGGAAGGAGTAGGAGCCTCGGTCACAACCACCAGTTACTGACTTCTGCCAACAATCTGAATGAACTTGGAAGATGGCTTACCTTGTATGTTCCTGCCCTTGCCATCAAGTCAGCTATTTCTCTGAAGAGCCCAGATTCCTTGAAACTGAGGACAGTATTTACCACCCAGGATCTGGCTGCTGAATATGCTCTTTGCTGCTGAGTCTGTCAGATGCAGACAGGCCCCGGGAATGCACTGTGGCTGTCCTATAGATCAAAAAGTGGCAGTTTGTGGGGAATGGGGCTTTTGATGAGTTCCAGATCTGTTCTCCCCACTCTGGTGACAGCTAGGCTGCAGGTTCACAGTTTCTGGAGTTTCTGAGCTGTTAATCTCCCTGGCTACTGTGCAGTTGAGGAGGGGAAAATGAGATTAAGGCAAGTTACTGCCCCAAGGCCTTTTTCCAGAATTCCACTCTTTGTGCTCAATAAATTCTCTTTGAATTGTTACAAGCCTTTGATTTGCAGAATTCTGAAAAAAATTGATTTTGGTTGTTTCTGCCAGTGTTCTCATGCCTTCTCTGGAGTATTGCATTTTCAGAGATCCTTAGTCTGCCATTTCAGAAGTGGAAACTCTGATTTTTTTAAGTATAGTTTGACATTTTTAAGTATAGTTTAACATCATAATGCCTTTTTTTCATATTTGCACTTTAGAAATATTTAAGACTGCCATAGAGACTGAATATGTGCCATATTCTAGTCCTTTCATTCCCGAATCCCCCTTTGTGCCTCACTGTCCAGAGACTCCTCTTCCTGGCAGGATGCTCCTCAGTCCTGAGCATTTAGGGCCTTAACTCCTCCAAATGTGTAAGCTACCTTTTTCAGGGGTTCCACAGAATGGCTTTATTTACCATTCACATACATCTTGAGTAAGTATGAGTTTATATCCCAGCTGGATCCTACGCAAAAATATTTGAAATTTATTTGCCTGGATGTGTTGCTTGGCAGGTCTATTTGTTACATAATAATATAAATGGGACTTAAATCTTAGACTTCCTGAACAAATTTGTGATTCAGCCCTGTATCTGCTGACACAGCAGCTCTTTTCAGCCTTCTGTATGCCCGCGGACTCCAAGCCAGTTTAAACTTCCTTGAGTAGCTGAATTCTGTTAAGTGAACCTGGAATCAACAGAAACGCTCCTTATTTCAGCCAAATGCACATAAAACAGTCATTCCAGTCTACGAAGAAGGAAAACCTGGCCCCAGTGAATCCCTGGTTGTCTCGGGCTGAATGCTTGTCCCTGTGCAGCTCTGAAGGGTTCTGTGTTCTCCCCAAACTGGGCAGATGATGGGCACGGCCCCTCAGTAAACAAACCTGCCAGCTCACCTGGCCCCAGCCACAATAGTGCTTCAGTGCAGGGCTCTCTCTGCTCTTTGGGATATGCCCTACAGCTAATTGGTACTAGGAAAAAGGGAAAAGACCTTGACCTTCTGAATGGGATATTCAAACCCCTCTGTCTGGGGAACAAAAGGCCTCACAGGGAAGGGGTACCCAGTAACAAGTGGGGAGACCTGGGAGATAGCTAGGAAGATACTGCAGGTGCCCATAGCTTCTGTTCTGTTACATTTCTGCAGAAAACTGCTGTAACAAGGCTGTGGGATGGGAACTGCAAGAAGAATCCTGAAATAGGCCTCCTGGGCCTACCCACGAATTTGCGAGGTCTATTGTTCCAAACCCGCCATGTCCAGTCACAGGATTGGGAAATGGGGTTTGGCCACGCTCTTGGCCTCGCCTCACTGGCCTTCCCTCATTCTTCTGAGGCCTCACCCACATTTCCTGTGTTGTTAGGGGGCAGCTTTAGTGAACATCAGGCAAAGGCGCCGCTCACCCTCCACCCTTGTGGTCTCAGCAGCCCTCACACCCCTTGTCATAAATTGTCCTCCCTGATATTCTGGAAGCAGCACAGGGCCCTCAGTGTTCCTGTCTTGTTCAAGTCTGTATTCCCTGTAAGGATCAGGCATACAAGAGGCCCTCCCTTAATAATCATTGAGTCACTGAAATACTAAACCATTAAAGGGGTATGGTCTTTCTCCTCAACCATGTGAAAAATGGTGGGCCTTACAGTGAAAGAGTAAAAAGGATTTTTTAAATGTTTAAGCCTTGAAGGGGTAGAAGCCAAACCATAAGGTGACACAGATGGAGGTGATGTGTCTTCCTGCTCAGGTCACTCAAGAACTTCTGGGACCAAGAGCACTGCTGGCTGTCTCCCTGCCTCGAAGCAGAGGGGCCTTGACTTAAGAGTTCAGCTTAGGATTTTTCAACTTTACGATGGTGTGAAAGTGATACACATTCAGAAGAATCTGCACTTGAACTTTGATTTCTCTTCTGATGCTGGGCAGGAGCAGTGCGCCTCAACTCCGGATGAGCCTCGCAGCCATGAGGGTAACCAACCCATACACTGACAGCTGTTCTGTTTTTCCCTTTCAGTACAGTATTCAAGTTACAGGAGATACTCAGCACTTATATAGAGTAAGCTTTGTGTTAGACGGTTTTGCCCAACTGTAGGCTAATGTAAGTGTTCTGAGCGTGTTTAAGGGAGGCTGGGCTGAGCCATGATGTGTCATAGATTTGGTGTTCTCAATGCATTTTTGACCTACAATGGGTTGATGAGGACGTGATCTATATGTGACACTGACATGCACTGGCCTTCCCTCATGTGAGGTGCCCTCCAAGGTCTTGCACAGTTCCTCCTGAACAAGCCATCCTCCTAGCCTATTTACAAACTTGGAACTTTTAAACTGGTACCAGCTACCTAGTACACACCATGCAGTTCATCACCACACATAAACAGACCCAGTGGATGCAGGGACAGTGGTGGAGATGGATTGCTCAAGTTGGCGGTTGGGAGTCCCATCAATTGGAGACCATCCAGAACCACTGAAAGTCCACAAAGTCACGTTTGGTATTTGCTGCAGCAAGTTTCAGGGGGCTGGAGGCATCTCAGCTGGAGGGAGTTAGGGAACGATAATCACAGCCTTTAAGATTACAGAGTTTTAGGATGGGCTTGGCAGGGGCGGGTCAGATTTTGTCAACTGGAGGGCTGCTAGAAAAGCCAATTGTCTTTATGAGTGAGCAGGTGTTAGGAGGTGACACGCAGATGTTTGGGATGTCGGAGCTGAATATGGGTGCTCGTATAGGTTGTGTGAGTCCCAGGGCAGCCCATCTTGAAAGGCTGTGTGTCTGTTTCAGTGCTCAGCTCCCCCACAGCCTGGCTGGCAGCAGGGCAGCTTTGCATTTTCATCACGAGGAGCATATGGCAAACAGGAGAGCTGGACAGATGTCAGGTGGTGACCTGCCTACCTGCCGGCTTTGTCTCCTCTCCCGCCAGCAGTGAGAGGTAAGGCTGTGTGCAGTGACGCCTGCGAGCCTGCAGGGAAGGACCTGACCTCAGAGGAATTCTGTCATTTGTCTTGGGACTCACTTCTGATCTAGACATAAACTGTGTTCCCCTTCTGTTTGTCTAAGAGGAGAAGGAAATGCAGGCCATGCGCTCTGGTTCTTAGGGCAGAACTGTAATGAGGCCCTTCACTTGCCTGTGAGGTCTCCCAATGCACCTGAAAGCAGAGATCCCCAGGTGAGTGTCAGCAGCCCGGCTCTCCGTGGTAGAGCGCCAGGAGTGGGGTTGGCAGTGGAGTAAGCCCCCCACCCTGTGCTGTGGTGTTGGCTTCTAGGGAGGGGTATGTGGGTGGGAGGGGAGTGCAGCTGCTGGAGTGGGAGGCGGGGGCAGCAGATGAGTCTGGCTCGTGCAGACTGAGGGGAATGGCTCCAGTCTCATTCCAGTCCTCCAGGTTAATCCAGGGTTGGGATTAAGAGTCCACATTCCTTCCGGATCGTTACAGCCAATGAATCTTTTCATGAAATACGCTGATTGGGTCTTTTGTTTCAGCTTTTACTGCCAAAATAAGTAGCATTATGTACCACGAGTTAAAAGATTATCAGCTTCTCTTTCAACAAGAGAAAAAAAGGCCACGATGTTTGATAATCAGCCTCTTGATGTCCCCAGTGTGACTCTGTACTTACTGCAAAAATGGCCTTTTCTTACTTAAAGTTTAGCAGTAATTACACTAATAAAGTGATCATCTTTATCACTTTTAAGTGATCCCAGATTATTGACAAAGAAGAGAGTGACTGGTCTGGGCTGTGGACATTTGAAGAGAAGTGTGCTCGGCAGTGGCTGTCACATTCCCCAGGATGGAGAGGACCCTTCCGCCAGCGAGGTGAGATGACGAGCCCTGAGCAGACTTTCTGGAGGGGAGCCTGGGATGCATGGTGCATTCGTCTCCTGCAGCTGCTGTGACAGCACCACAAACCGGGTGTCTTAAAGCAACAGAACTGTGTTCTCTCACAGCTCTGGAGGCTACAAGCCTGCAATCTGAGGTATGGGCAGGCCCAGTCTCCCTGAGAAGATTCTAAGGGAAGGTCCTTCCTTGGCCTCTTCTAGCTTCTGGAGGTTACTGGCATCCTTGGTGCATCTTGGTTGAGAGAGCATAACCCCAGTCTGCCTCCACCTGCCCTCCATGTGTGTGCTTCTGTGTTTGTTTTCTCTTCTTATTAGAATACCAGTCATTGGATTAAGACCCACCCTTATCCAGTCTGGCTTCTCTTTAATTATACCTGCAAAAACCCTATTTCCAAGCAGGGTCCCGTGCATAGGAACCAGACACCAGAACTTGAACATATCTTTTTGCAGGACACAATTCAACCTACAGCATGAGGTCTGTTCTGCTTCCAAGGCAAGAGGTTGGGACAGAGCTGGAGTTTGGCCTATAGGACAGCCTGAAACCCTCCATGTTGCTGGAAGACTAAGTCGACCTTTGAGACAACCATTCACGCCCAGTCTTATCATTTAAGATTAGCAATGGTTGCTACTCATGTGAAACCTTCGTAAGATTGTTTATCAGTGATACCATCATTAAAAAAAAGGAAGAAAAATAAACAGTGGTGTGAGTTTTATTTGTTTGTAGAGCAGATATAAGGAGTTGAGTGCATTTCACTCCCTGGTCCATAGCATGATCTCATCAGTGATGGAGGGATTCTCTCTTATTTTACTTTTTGCCTTTCTGCCCTGAGCCAGGATAGTTAAGCTGGAGTAATAAACAGCCCTAAAATCTCTGTGGCTTCAAACAACAAAGGACGATTTCATGCCCACACTGCTCAAATCATGGGTCAGCAGGTCAGTGTCACCCAGGCACCTAAGCTGACAGGGCATCCCCCACCTGAGTGGGCCAGTTGCTAACTAGAGGTTCCAGTATTGCAACCAGGTACCTGGCCCTGAAGCGACGTGCTCCACTTAACCTGGACCAGTCCCACCACTGGGCCCAACCACAAGGGGGCAGAACTGCCCGCCTGGAGAAGGTAAATAGGAAAGATTTGGCCAAATACATGGTGTGCTGAGAATACCCTCTTTTCTGTTTGTCACCTTGTCCTCGGATTTCCATTAAGCACTTCCACTTCTGGGAGGCCCTCACGCCTGTCCCCTTCTGTGCATCTAAGGTTCCTACCCCTAACTGCTGCCCTAGGGCCTGGCTCTTTACAAACTCAGTTAAAGCCAAGTTGTTCGTGGTGGTGATGGGTGTAGTCACGTATTCATGCCATGGGCATGCAGGTGCTGGGGCTATGCCAGCGAGTGTGCAGCCAACGTGCCTGTTGTGACGGAGCTGGCATTCTAGCTGCTTAGGTCCAGGATACTTTGGGTTACAAATAAGAACTCCACCTTACACCTACTTAACCATAACCACATTCTCTGGATGGGGAAGTTCAGAGGTAGGGAAGGTTCCAGGCGTATATCACCTGGGACTCAGCCCCTTTCCTCTGGCTCTTTGTCCAGGAAGCTTTGCTCCTGTACTAGCTTCTGTTGTTGTCAACAAGTGGCTTCCAGCAGCAACTGTGATGACAGAGTTCCTTTCATTCAGCGGAGAAGAAAGAGACCTTTCCAACCATGTACTAATAAGCCCTTCCCTTCCTCTGCCTGGGACAGTCCCTGGACACAGAGCAGTGGCCGGGGGGATGCCATGCATGGCTGGCTTTAGTCTGGGTCACGGACATGCACTGTTGCCTTAGAGCCTGGAGGCAGCTGGTGGGTGGTCACCTTCCTTAGGATGCAGGCCGGAATGAGGAGTGTATCGGTTTGCTCGGGCTGCCATAGAAAGTACCAAAGACTGGGTGGTACAGACAGCAAAACTTGATTTTCTCACAGTTCTGGAGACTGGAAGTCTGAGATCAAGGTGTCGGCGAGATTGATTTCTTTGAGGCCCCTCCTTGGCTTCTAGCTGACTGCCTTCTCCCCATGTCTTCATTTGGTCTTCCCTGCCTGTGTGTCTGTGCCCTAACCTCCTTTTTGTAAAAAGAATGGTCCTGTGGGCTTAGAGCCCATGTTAATTTAACTTAATTACCTCTTCAAAGAGCCTATCTCCAAATACGGTCACATTCTGAGATACTAGGGGGTTAGGAATTCAACATAGGAATTTTATGGTGGACACAGTGGAGCCCATACAAGGAAGGAAGGTGTTCTGAGCAAAACAGCTTTTTGGAAGGTGGAAAAGGGACATGGATACTGGATGGGCAACCAACAGGATCCATGCCACAGGCAGAGAAAAAAAAACCACATAAATGCACAGGATAGTTTCATATAGTGAAAAGTGTTTTTAAAGACAATGAAACTGGATAAGGAAGTCAAGAGTGACTGCAGTGGGCGAGCACCATCAGCAAGGGTGGCTGGGACGGCCTTTCTGTGGAGAGGACATGGGAGCCCATGCCAGGTGGAGGGCTGAGCAAGGAGCACGGTGCAGGGCAGCAACTCCAAAGGCCTGAGGGGGAGTGAGTGTGGCAGAAAGGAGGCCTGAGGACTCGGTGTTGTCATAAGCAGTGGCCCAGGAGGTCACAGGAGCCAGACCACTCAGGGCTCTAGTGATTTGGGGTTGCACCCGAAGACCAGCTGCCTCCCAGGAAGTGCTGTGACTACGATGGGCCACGGCGTGTAGGATTTGCACCTGGCCAAGGAACTGCAGAGATACGCCTCTCCCAGGGACAAATTCCAAACCACCTTAAGCCCGTGCTGGAGCAAGAAGACCCCCTAGAGGGCGGTGCCATCTCTAGTGCTGTAGGACCCAGAGTCCTTGACTCCAGCTTTCAAGGCCCAGCCTGCAACCAAGTGTGGCACTCCCTAAGGGCTAAAGGCAGGAATGAAGAAATGGGTACAACTTATCTTAAACCCACAAGACTCCAGCCTGGGGTGGAATCTGATGAGTCTTCAGAAACAGAAATATTTATCTACAGAGCAGCCTGACCACTCAGCCAACTGTAAAAGGAAGGCACACAAGCTCTTAAAATGCTACCCCATAAATGCTGTAGATCCTGACATAAATAAGCAAGGTGTACATACCATGGGCACTGCTTTTCCCTTAAAAAGTACATCTAAAGAGCTTCCTGAAGACCAAGAATCAGATTGCTGTAGTCTAATTCTTCATTTGAAGGTGGTCAGGTTCAGAAAATACTGCCATCCCAAGCCCAGTTTCACCACACCATACTCACCGGTTCAGTCCGCGGACACTGCTTTGGTTGCCGAGGCTGGGCTTTGTTGGAAATCCCCCTCGTGAGAGCAAGTGTGCCAGGATGTGGCCTGCAGGTCCCACCAGGGCTCCTGTCCTAAGAGCCATTTTAAGTGCCAGCTTCTTTGTGAACTTGTCCTGACTTGCGGGGACTTCTTTCCCCCAGCCTCAGCGAGTTTGCAGGGACTTCTTTCCCCCAGCCTCAGCGAGTTTGCAGCACTGTGGGTAAAATTGCAATATTTCTAGAATCTCTCGTCTGGCCTTACTGCATCTCCATATCAATAGGTGTTTCCATGGGGTGGAGAGAAGTAGTCCATCTCCATATCAATAGGTGGTTCCAAGAGTGAGGGGAGCGAGGGTATACCTGGACCAGAGAGGTTGGGTGGGGTCCCTTTTTACAGCCAGGTTACAAGAGACACTGGAGAGCAGAAGTGGATGACTGCTTGTAAGCAATAAACAAGTTTCTCCCACTTTATTTCTCCCTTTGATTGATTTCATCTTCAAAGGTAATTTGCCCCGGGCTAGGAAGTTTTTTCCCTCCGGAGTTACAGGCGCCATGCACATTAGACTTTAACTGTGTCTGCCTTTATCAAAGGGACCCCGTGTGATGTACGGAAGGTGTTATCCTCTAACTTGATCATAAACCCTCTCTCAGGCAGGGAACTTCTGTTTGAAAAGCACACTCAGAGGAGCTTGAGCAAAGAAAGACTCACCTAACACAGGGCACAGGGTCTTCTAATCGAACCCACAGGAGGGCAGTCGGGTTTCATGAGACACTGCAACCCTACATGGGAAACCAGGAGTGGCACTTTAAAACCTGGCCCTAAAATCCTTTGAAACTTCTCAACTCAGTGATGACTCACTGTCCATGTCCCCTTCCCTTGCTTGACTCAGGAGCTTCTTGTGACAACTTTGACCAACAGTGTGGTGGCAATGACCTTATGTAACACGTGAGGCTCGGTCATAAAGGCCATGTGGCTTCTACCTTGTTTTCTGGAACACACACTAGGAACCCTGAGGCACCATGTCAGAAGTCTGACCACTCAGGCACCATTCTCTGAGGAAGCTAGGCCACATGCAGAGCCCAAGGAGAGCTGTTCTGGCTGTCAGTCCTACTTCAAGGTTTCCCGGCCCAGGTCAGACATGCGAGTGAGTGAATGACCCTTCAGGGAACCCCAGTCTCCAGCCATACAGACTTCCATCTGGGGTAGGTACGTAAGTTGTGGAGCAAATATAAACCATCCCCCTGCACTCTCTCTCAATTCCTGATCTGCAGAGCCCAAGAGCATAATGAAATAATTGTTTTTAGCGCTAATTTTGGGGATATTTTATATGGCAATAATAACCAGGACACAAAATTAAGCTCTGTCACACTGGGAGCCCCATGGTCTCTTTCTTCCTTTCTGTCCATGTCAGCATCATTGTTCTCTCTGTGCACATGAAAACAATATTGTCATCCTCTGCCTTGCTTTACGTCAATACTCCATTCAAACACTTGAGATTCTGAGTCTAAAGTCCACACACTGAGAAATGGGATCCAACAGTCACCACACTTGATTCCAGTGTTTGCAACATCTGGGCTACATGGATGATATATTCATGCATACATTTGCTACACACTGACCACCCTCTTTTGCTGCTTTTATTCTCACAGTACTTATCCCTCTTTGCAATTCCATACTTTTCTTGTCTACATGTACATCATCTTCCCACTTGCTAAAATGTAAGGTTTGTCAGGTCAGGGTCTCTGTCAATCCTGTCATCCATTGTATCTTAAGCAACTAAAACAGTGCCTGAAACACAGTAGACATTCAGGAGTTTTTATGCAGCTCATAAACACCTATAGATTTTCACACACGCAAGGTAAAAGTCTTAAAAGTCCATGTTTGCATCCCTGCAATGTGAGCTTCATAAGAGCTGAGGCAGCAGCTGGTGGAAAGTGGCCTAGTCAAGTCTGACTTCATGTCTCCTTGAAGCATGTGCTCAAGTTCCCAATAAACACATTAAGTTTACTGTGACTATGCAGCAATGTTTTGTTTTAGCTTATTTTCCTTTTTGTTTGCTAGTGTTGGAAATGTTACATTTTAAAAATAAGATGGTTTCTAAAAGTCAACCGAAAACCAAGCTAGCTTCCCATCACTCGGGAGCCAATGATCCAGTTGACTTGTCTGACATTTCCTGATGGCTGACTGCTCCTCAGAATTCCTGGACAGGAAGGTGGGCTAGCTGTGGAATAGCCCCTATTCAGGCCTCTCTGTCCTTACAAAGGAGGCTCTGGTGAGTGCACAGATGTGACAGGCAGGGACACCACTGGGACCTTCTTTGACTTAGGAACAGGAACTTTCACACATTTTTGTTAGAGACAGAAAATCATATACTC